CAATTGACTGACAAGAAGTTAATTGACCAGGTGCGGTCCATTCCCTCATTACTTCAAGACAAATGAAGCAGATAAAAGGTCTGGAGTTGTTATCAGGTATTGAGTTGGCATTTGGCAGCTGTTCGACTGGAGCTACCAATATGAAGTCCAAGGAGATCTCAATGCAAGTGAAGGAGGCCATCATTAGGCTGAAAAAACATCATAAATCTATAAGAGAGATAGCAAAAACCTTAGGTGTGGCCAAATCAACAGTTGGGTACATTCTTAAAAAGAAAGAAAGCACTGATGAGCTCAACAACATCGAAAGGCCTGGAAGACCACGGAAGACAACTAAAGTGGATGATCGCAGAATCCTTTCCTTGGTAAAGAAAAACCCCTTCACAACATCAACAGGAGTCAAGAATACTCTGGAGAAGGTAGGCGTATCACTGTCAAAATCTAGCCAAAGGCAAAATCACAAAAACTGTCATTGTCCAAATACTTCCGGACCTAACTGTATTTAGCTCCCAGTGGCATACAATGATATGCACACTCCACCATTTTATTTACATAAACCCATTCTTAAATATGCTGTTACATTTCCATTACGTGCTGTTGTAGTAAAGTTCAGCACAGATTTAAAGACTCAGCTTGTACATAGTAAAATGATACAGATTAATGTTGGTATTGTGATATGTGATGTATGCAAGGGCAAGTTGTCCTGAATCGGCATGAAAAGGCTCCATCTTGCCAGACCTCAGTGTAACATCTTGCTTTTCAGTTTTCTAAATAGGTTTAGATTTCATGTAATGTGCACAAGTGAGTCTTCTGTAAGGCTTCTGTAGTTATAGTGATTAAAATATCAATACAGTACCTCATTAAATCCCAAGGACAAACACAAACATTAGGTTGACTAAAGATGATAAATGTATTTATTGTCCATTTCAGTGCATTCTTGTCATTTGCCTCTGTTGTTGACTCTAAATGAGTCAAGTAATGTAAAATGGTTCTGGCTGAATAAGTGCAACTTAAGTGCATGTTGCAACTGGTATATTATGGATAAAAGGTTGTCCGTGGTATCTTATGTATGTGGTAGAAGGGTGACGTTACCTCTTTGTACTCATCTAGGATAAGCTTTCTACTAAAACCTTAATCTTAGCTTGTGATTTAGGAGGAGCCATAGCACTAATCTGTGATAGGCAGGGAGGGGCAACATCTGTGTGTGCATTTAAGCTATTAAATTTCACAAGAGATTAACAACATCTACTAGATTTAAATCCTCTATATGACCTCTATATAGAGCTATGGACATCTGTATGTTCATTATAGCAGTGTGTGTCGGATGTACTACACTAGAATTTAGCATGCTTCACTTATTCTCATGTCTTTTTTTTTTTTTTTTTGGCTGTATGTCAGGAAACAGTGC